GAAAGAGAGAGAGAGAGAGAGAGAGAAAGAGAGACAGAGAGACAGAGAGACAGAGAGACAGAGAGAGAGAGAGACAGAGACAGAGACAGACCAACAGACAGACAGACAGACAGACAGATAGATAGACAGATAGACATATAGAAAAATACATTGAGACAGACAGACATACAAAGACAGAATAAGAGAGTGATGGAGACGGAGAGAGTGATAGAGACGGAGAGAGCGATAGGCTGATGTGATGGAGAGAGAAAAATGGAGGGAGAGGGAGGGAGAGGGAGGGAGGGAGGGCGAGAGAGTGAGAAGAGAGAGAGAGAGAGAGAGAGAGAGAGAGAGAGAGAGAGAAGGAGAGAGAGAGAGAAAGAGGGGAGGAGGGAGAAGTAGGAAAGAGATAGTGAGAGAAAGATATAGAAGGAGACGCCTAGGAAGTAATTAAGCTGGCAGCAGAAAGTTTGCGGAATCTGCTCCTGACCTTCAGGCACACTGCTGTATTCATTAAGGAAAAGTGCTTTACCTGGTTTCCCCACTGTTCTCTGCCACAATGAACAACATAGCTTTCTCAGCATCTTTAGCCCGCAGGCAAAAGTCTACACCTCTACGTGAAACTGAACCGACGTCTTCGTATAGCGCGTATAGCGATACGAGGATTTGCCTTCGTACACTGATTGCCCGAGTTCGATTCCTGTCAGGGGAGAATTTCTATGGAGTACCCAGACCCGCGCCTTTCAGCTGGAACATTGTATCCCTCTTAGTCCGATCGAGTTGACTCTGAGAGGTAGAGTCGAAGCCTAAATGATCAAAACTGTGATGATGAGGGCGTAAACTACCAACCCAGTAACCCCCTACCCTTCCAGCAACCCCCTTAATAAAAACAAAAAAACAAAAAACAAAAAACAAAAAACAACAACAACAACAACAACCCCCCCTCCAACAACTCCACAACAACCCCACAACAAAACAACAAAATACAAAAAAAAAGCAACCCCCCCCAAAAAAAAGCCACCCCCCCAAAAAACAACAACATCAGACTGTTTTTGAGAGCACTATGAAAGAGTATTGGCAGACCGGCATTCTTTCTGCACGGTGTAGAGTTACGGCCCTTTCAGCACAGTAATATTATTCAAGAGTCGGTACCTTCAATTAATTTCACGTCATTTTCCGATATAGAAGCAGGCCTAACGGGTGTGGAGAAAAGAAAGCTTTCTAAACTCCCCGAGTCCAAGAAAAAGGGTTAAAGCTTTCGTAAAATTCGTGCTTATTCATGGTACAGCTCATTAGTTTTTTTCGTGGCTCCTTGTGACAATCAGCTGTTCTTAGTCTAGTGAGGCGTTAGAATTCAAGAACATTAAAAAAGGAAATGTAAACCCAGCCCC